TTTTTTTTTTTTTTTTTTTTTTTGGTACCGGGGAACGAACTCAGGTCCTTGTGCTTGCAAGGCAGGTGGCAGAACCACTAAGCTAAATCCCCAGCCCCCTGCCTGGATAATTTAGTGAGACTCTATCTCAAAATATTAAAATAAGAGCTGAGGATTAAAAAAAAAGCTGAGGATGTAGGTCAGCACAAAGACCCTGGGTTCCATCTCCACTACCACTGAATAAATAAAAAGAATACTTACATACATGCATAAAATAAAGAAAAAAAATCAATATAGTAGCATTTTAGTCACATATCACTTTTTTTTTAAGACATAGTCTCAATAAGATGCCCAGGCAGGCCTTGAACTTGCAATCCTCCTTCGTACCTCAGCCCCTGGAATAGCTGTGATAACAGTTGTGTGCCACCACATTGAACCAGTTACATTTTGCTTTAATAAAGAAAACTACATTACTTGGGTTTATTATCCACATTATTAAATGCCATATTTGGATGAGTACAACTTGTGGTTCCCTGAGATTACATGTATCCTCAAATAATGAATCGCTACCATCAAAGTCATTCAAAAACATGCATTCTAGGCTGGGGATTAAGCTCAGTGGTGCCACTGCCTGCCCTGCAAGCTCAGGGTCCTGAGTTTGATCCCCGGTACCAACAAAAACATGTACTCGAAGGTGAGGAGCAGTTCTGACCAAGAACTCCCAGGACTGCTCCCTGCGCAATCCCAAGATGTGTGAGAGAGCAGCAGCTCCAGACTTCTCTTCAGCGGAACCCAGGAAGGGCGAGCTGCGCCTCTTCATTCCACATCCCAGTGCTTCCAAGCCCATGTGCACGAAGTCCCACATGTGTAAGTCCCACACTTATACTCCCCTCCCAGAGCTCACTCCACCGCCAGATTGTATGTCCAACTGTCTGCCCCGTGACACCTGGCATCTCAACGGAGATCATGCACCCGCCTCAGACACGGGGTCTCCTCCTTCCTACCATCCCTTCTCAGGTAAGGACAATGCTAGTGCTCCTGGAGCCCAGGCCAAGAACCCTACAGTCATCTTTTTCTCCACCCGCTGCAGCCAGTCTGTCAGGAAATTCTTTGGGGAATACCTTTAAAGTACATCCAGAATTCATCAGTTTCTCACTAACCTCCTTGTCGGGCTGTCACCACTGCCCACCTACAAAGGCCTAACCAATCTTCTACCCTTGCTTTTCTCAACCCCTCTTTCACTCGTAAACCAAAGGGTTGCAAGGCCCAGCAGAAGCTGGCTCATTTGACCTTTCTCAGAACTTGCCTGACTGGTCTTTTCCTCCTCCTGCCCTCTAATCACCCTGCTTTCCTCTAGGTCCCTGAACACCCAGGCCTGTGCTCTCCTGGGGCCTCTGCTCAGATTCATCTGCCTCACTGGAGCGCTCTTACCCCCGAATCCCACATCATCATGTTCTCAGGCCATTCTAGCCAGATTCCTCCCCTGACCAACGACACAGAAAAGGTCATTATTCTTGCCTTGCTTTGTCTTTTAATGCCTGACATTCATGTATCATTTTGTATTTTTGTGTCATATTTTCTTTAGTGTCTGACTCACTCACTAAAAGAAGACAGGGTCTTCATTTCTCTCACTGAACAAAGTATACTTCTCCTTCACATTTAAGAAAACCAGATGTAGCATCTTTTTTTTTATTTTTTTTTGGTACCAGGGATTGAAATCAGGACCTTGAGCTTGCCAGGCAGGCGCAGCACCACTGAGCTCCATCCCTGGCCCCATAGCATCATCTCCTAAAATAAAAACTCACAGTTTATCAAGCTGCAACTCCATGGGCACGTTTCTCATTCCCTCACCAATCTCACCAGTCTTTTGCAAGTCAATGCATCAATCTCATAAAGAACCTGCCTTTGTTTTATAATCTAAGCTCCAAGAGGCCTCCATTTTCCCAGAAATGAAGAAGCCATGGGAGGCGGAGCGCACAATGGCCATAATGAGAAAAGGTTCCTGGAGCTTGAGAACTGAATTCACCTCATGGTGTCTCTTGAGAAATTAAAAAAATAAAATAAAGTCAAAATAATCCCATTATATTTTGAAGAGCAAGGAAAAATATCTACATAATTTCTATCACTTTTGCATTTTTATACATAAATATGTAATCTTGCAGTTGAAAATAATTGTACATCTTGCTTTTTTCACTTACCATCCTAAGATCTTCCTGTTGCTTCATGGGGTTCCTTAGTATACTTACTGAATGTAGAATATTCTATCGAAAGGCTGGAATCATGATTTAACTATTCTAATTTATTGTTCTATAGTAATTCCTTATGCATTTAGCTTTTTTCCTTCCTTTGGGACATCTTAGTAGGCTAAAGCCCCTGATGTAAGATTACTGGGTTCAAGGACCGAAATACAGAGCTTTTATGACTTTTTCTTTTTTTCTCGGTACTGGGGATTGAACTTGGGACCTTGTGCTTGCAAGGCAGGCAGTGAAACCACTGAGCTAAATCCCTGGCTTTATGGCTTTTGCTTCAGATGAGGGTCTCACTTTATCGACCAGGGTGGCCTTGAAGCCCTGGGCTCAAGGGATCTTCCTGGCTCAGTCAGCCTTGGTGCTCCACTTGCCCCTTATGGGTCCTTTTTTTCTTTTTTTTTTTTTTTTCCTTCAGTACCAGGGATCAAACTCAGGACCTTGCACTTGCAAGGGAGGTGCAGCATCACTGAGCTAAATCCCGGCCCACCCCTTGTGGCTCTAACTCAGGATGCAAACTTGCTCTCCCAAAGGGTCTACACAGATGGCGACACAGAAGTGAACCCCGCACTCACTCTCTTCACAGCTCCTTCCCCAGTGCTCTTTAATTGCCTCACTTCTGTTCTCAGCTCCTTGCAGGACAACCAGGGTGAGCAATTTTTCATCTGTCCCATTTTGAAGTAACCGTGGGGACAGGGCCTGGGGTCCTCAGTGGAGTGTCCAGGGGAACTGAAAAACTGGTCGAGGTAGAGGTAAAAGAGAGCGTTCATGAGGGCCATAGTGAGCAGCAGCCCGACCAAGCGGGGAACTTCTCTGTGGGTGAGGCCTTGCCTGCTCTCCAGGGGTCTCCTTTCCATGTTGCTCTCCCGTGTCGGCTCCTACAGGGTGACATGAGACAAGGGGCAGTAACTGTCAGTTATTTTCATGAGAAGGTTCTCACGACACTAGACTGAAGGTTTCTCTCCCGCACAGACCTCTTAAGGTTTGGTGTCATTGTGGGGAGCAAGGGAAGCCCCAAAATGCTAGGCTTATACCAAATGCTCAACGTCAACCGCTCTCATAACCCTTATTCTTTATTACAAACTGAAATTGGGATTCACTTAGATTAGATTTGGCTAGAGGAGAGGTGTTTGTATCTATGTCTTTGCGTTACCCACAGTAATTTTGTTTGTTTGGTACTGGGGAGTGAATTTGGGACCTTGTGCTCATGCAGCAGGTGGTGGAACCACTGAACTAAATCCCCAGTCCATACCCACAGGAATCTGCACTAAGTAGACATTCATGAATATAGGAAAATGCAAGCAAATGCTAGGTGTGGTGGCACACACCTGTAATCTCAGTATTCTGGGAAACTGGGGCAGGAGGACTGAAAATTCAAGCCCAGTGTGGGCAACTCAATGACTCAGTGAGACCATGTCTCAAAATAAAAAATGACTGAGAAGTAGCTCAGGGGGAAGGCCCTGGGTTCCATCCCCAGTACCAGAAAAAAAGGAAATGAGTAAAATAAAGTTCAGGGATTTTTTTGTGTGCTTTTTTTTTTTTTTGGTTTGGTTTTGGTTTTTTACAGTGCTGGGGGTGGAACCCAGGGCCTCAAGTGTGCTAGGGTAGCACTCTACCACGCAGCCACACTGCTAGCCCAGACCCTGAACATTTTAAATTAGCAAAGACTACTCTTCAGCAAGTGTGAAAGGGGGATTTGAAGTGGAAGAAATTGAAGCTCAGAGATGAGAAGGCCTGTCTAGACTGCAGGGTGAGAGTCAGCAAACTCATGAGTTAGAATTATGGTGGTGAGATTGGCAAGAGGTTGACTCAGGTAACCATGGCAATAAGTAATCCTGAGTAGGCAGAATCAACACTGGAGCCACTGCAGGGCCTGTGTGGAGAGTCTGAGGGGAAAAGGACTAGACCAGGTGAAAGACCCTGTCACTCAGGTGTGGGGGCTGTTTAGGCAGTATAATGACCACACCAACACAACAAACATGGTCCTGAGTGTGCCAGCTGAGCGTCAGCACTGGAATGCATGGAGACCCTTATGACAGAACCACCCCACCTACCTCTTGCCAGAGACAGGCCTAACTCAAGGGTCAGCTTCCAGGAGCGTCTTCCCCTAGCTAGGTCTCCACCCAGACACTGGGGCCAATCAGTGTTCTGGCTGGTCCCAGGGACTGGTTTGAAAGCACTCTGTTATGTTAACTTCTCATAACTGTACACAGATAAATCACAATAGTCCAAATGGTTCCTTTCCCAGGGGCCCTCTTGGAGTGTAGATGTCCCTGGGGCTCTGATGTCACAGGGCGGTCCTTGGGAAGCTGGCCACTACCTTGGAGGCCACGTTCACTGCTGCACACTCAGAGGCCCTCACTTCCTAACAGTCCATTTGGTCTCAACCTGTTCCCTCCACTTCTATCACTAGTTTGGGCCAGATGCATAAGTAAATAAAACAAATTTGGTCCTCTTGGAGCTCAAGGGAAAATTCAGCAGGGAAGACAGACAATAAGGAAGTAAATAGAAGTTTATCATCATCCTGTGCTGAGAGTTCAAAGACAGAGAACAGCTGAGCAGGAAAATCCAGGGACGAAGCTGCCCAGAAGACCTTTCTGAGGATGCATCATTCACACTATGATCAGAGGACTGGGAGGAGCCTGCCAGGAAAGATGGCTCTTTCATACCCTGGAAGTAAAATCTACCTATCATTCATCAAATTGGACAGCGGACACTAATCATGCCAGCCTCAAAGTTAACAGGGAACAATAGATCTCCCAAGGACTAGCTGCAGCAATCATCAAATAATCCCCTTCTTTGAATAATGAACTACTTTTGTACTACTGAGAAACTATGATCAAGAAGACCAAAAATTCAGTAAGAATGAAAAAAATTCAGCTGAGTGTGGTAACTCACACCTGTAATCACAGCACTCAGGAGGCTGAGGCAGGAGGAATGCCATGAGTTCATTGCTAGCCTGAGCTACATAGTGAGTTCAAGGTCAGCCTAAACTGCATTAGGAGATTCCATCTCAAAAAAAAAAAAGTGTTGGGGATGTAGCTCAGTGAAAAGGCCTTAGCTTCGATCCCAGGTACCACAAAAAAAAAAAAAAAAAAAGCAAAATCCCAGTCTTCCCCAAAAGAACTGTCACTCTTCTCAGAGACTTGACTCCAGTTTCCAAACTAGCAGAGCTTCAGACAATGCTTTTCTGGAGATAATACTGCACATATATATTAATCTTGCAGCCTCCAAGGGCCCTGGGACCCACTTCACAATCCAGATGAGATCTTAACTCCTTTACCAACCATCCTGCTTGGCTTTGAGCCCATCAAAACCACTACTTCATCCAAGGTTTCTGTCTTGGTTACTTTTTCTCATTGCTGAGACAAAATACCCAACACCAAAAGTTAAAGAGGAAAGGTTTATTTAGCTCACAGTTTGTAGAGGTTTTAGTCCATAATTGGCTAGTTCCAAGGCAGGGTAGCATGGCAGAGGGGCACTGCAGAGGAGAAACAGTTCGTGGCAGGTAGAAAACAGCAAAAGCAAGCAAGTGACAAAGCAAGACAATACCTTTCTGTCCTTATGTCTTACCCAGGCTACTTGTCTCTAGGACAGATAGCACTCACAGCCTTAATCCTAGCTTCACACTGTGAATTAATCCCAGCTTGATGTCCTTGATCCCAGCAGCACAAAGCCTAGATCCAGTCACCTCTGAAAAGCCCTACCTATGACCACATGGGGTTTTGAGGGGACATCCAGGCATGAGCCTAACACTTTCCATCCCCCAAGTTTTGTAACTTTCTTTCCCTTTGTGACATCCAAGTCCCACTGGCATACTGTATCCTTCACTGTGATGGGTCCATAAGTCTAACAGGTTTGTCCTCAAGGGCCTTAGGTTGGTAAGACTGGGTCATCCTCTTTGTATTTCCCTCATTTCTTCCCCCACCTTTGTTCTCAGTTCATGGTCTTGTTGTGTGTTCTCCTGAACCATCACAGAAGCAATCAGGAAATACATCTCCAAGGTCCCCAGACCTTGCCCCAATTTTCTGAATACTCTACTTTCCCAGACCTTGCCCCAATTTTCTGAATACTCTACTTTCCCTCAGACACCTTCTCAAAAAACTACATCGCTGTGGCTCCTGCTCAGCAAACCAATGCAACATGCACAGGGCCCTGCGCTTCTCTCCTGCTCCTAGCCTGGTCTCTCCTTCCCAACCATGATTGCATCGACTTCTTCCACTGTCCAGAACACTGCCTCTTCACCCCCCACTTGCCCTCCACCTAGTCTTTTCTTCCCATTCCAGTCAACTCCACCTGTGCACCCAAGGTGTGCTCTCCACAGCTCTCCTCTCCAATTCACTGCTGCTTCTCCCAAGCCAACTACACCAAGGTCACCACAGGGGCTTCAGCTGAGCTGCACACACAGTCCCAGTCACTTAACCCCATGGCAGTAGTCAGTGTGGCTGAGCCCTCCCTCCTCCTTGGAGCACTTTCCTAAGTGTCCGGGAAGCTGTGCTCCCTGGTGATCCTCCTCCTTTCTCTGACTCTTCAGTGAGCCCATCTCAGCCTCAGACCTCTTCACTCACTCCTGGGTTGACTTCATGACTCTTGACTTCCACCTCCACCCGCCAAAAGATCCCGGAAGGACAGCTCCACTCCCAGCTTCTCCGAGAAGGTGTACTTCCTTGACATCTCCATTTGGATGTTTGATGAACAACTCAATAATACTACCTTTCAACAACAAAAATGTAACTTGCCTTAAAATTGGGCAAAGGATTTGAATAGAGACTTCTCCAAAGATCCATGGATGGCCAACAGGCACATGAAAAAATGCTCAATTTCATTAGCCATGAAGGCATATGTAAATCAAAAGCAGAATGAAGTTGGACATTGTGGTGCACTCCAGTAAACCCAACTACTCAGAAGACTGAGGCAGGAGAACTATAAGTGCAAGGCCAGACTGGGCCATTTAATAAGACTCTGTCTCAAAATTTTTAAATGGGCTGGAAAAGCTTTGCATGGTGTTGGACACCTGAAATCCCAGTACTTGAGAAGCTAAGGCAGAAGGATCACAAATTCCAGCTCAGCTTGGACAATTAAGCAACTCAGTGAGACCCAGTGCCAAAATAAAAACTTGGTTTTAAACAGGGGGTGGAGATTAACTCAGGGTAAAGGGCCTGGGTTCAATCCCCACACTAGGAGGGAAAGTTGGATAACAAGTAGTTGTGAGGAAGAAAAAAAAATTGTAATTCTCATACATTTCTAGTGGGAATGTAAAACGTAGCCACTATGTAAGACAATTTGGCTTATCTATGTTTATCACAGAATTACCAGCAGCCAGTTGAGAAACTAGGTATTGTTTAAACACATAGGATTTGACATAGATAGGAAAAGCTACTCTATACTTACTTTTCAAAAAGAAAAATGGAACAAAATCGAGGCAGATGTCACTAAATACAATCTAGATTACAACCCCACTTTTCCTAATTAAGTACAAGAAACATTAAGATAATTATTTAAGTATTCTGCATGGTTACTGAGCTTTTAGGTTCTAGAGTAAGGGCAAAGGGTGGAGACAAAACACTAAATAAATGGCTACATTTTGCTTTGTAAACGAAAACAGCATATGTCTCTCTGCACACACTGCCGGCCGGGCGGAACAAGGCCCACGAAGAACCTGCTATGGCGGCCACGGAGGGTCGTGGGATCCTCACGGGGCTGGCGCTGCCTGCCCCCAGGTCGCAGGATCCTAGGGAAAACCCCGGGCCCCGGCTGTGCCCCCGCGCACCCCGCGTAC